CGTCCATCATGCCCTCCACGAAGAAGGCAGATTTGATCCAGCAGTTGAAGGAGCATGGCGAGGAGGCACACGACAAGATGACCGTGATCGAGATCAAAGCTCGGTTGGAGGTGTTGAAGGGCGACAGTCCGAAGACGGAGGTGGGGACGTTGGAGGCCAGACTCAAGGAGATGTACACCCGCAGCCGAGATCGCAAGAGCCAGTTTCAGAGGTTCCTCCAGGACCGCGGCATCACATTCTCCGAGCATGCGACAGTGGTTCAGATGGTGGCGGCAGCAGAGCGCCAGATCACAGAGGAGTTCGAGGTGAACGGTGCCGAGAAGATGAACTTCGGGAAGTTCAGCTCCATGACAATGGACAATGTCATCGAGGACCATCCCAGTTATGCTCAGTGGTGCCATCAGACCGCAGCCGAGAGCGATACGGCATCTTGGCGTCTCCAGAGGTTTGCCCGCTACATGACCATGAAGCAGGCGAAGAGCTCGATCGAGTACCAGTACCAGCAGACCGGGACCATGGGCCACAAGACGATTCCAGACAAGGACAAGGCCGCGAAAGCGGATGGCTACCTCAAAGGGAAGAAGCCATCTCCCAGTGCAAGTTCGCAACCCAGCGTCGAGAGCTTCTCATTGGTGGGCTCGGCTTCAGTGTCGAGCGGGACGGCGGACAGACTCCTCACCGACGAGGCGAAGGAGATCGCACGGCTGAAGGCCGAGTTGTTGGAGCTCAAGAGCGAGAAGGCCGAGATGGAACAGACGCTCTCTCGGAACAAGGGCCGGAGGGAGATGTGATCCACGACGTCGAGAAGATCCTCTCCGAGGAAATGGCATTGCATATAAGCCGGGCATGGTTGCCGTAAAAGAATCCTTTTGGTGCGGCATGGCAAGACCTGGTGAGTGAGGGGAGAGTTTTTCTCCTTGAGCTGGATGCCATGAGGATAGTGCTTTGGCCTCGGAAGTTCAGGGTCGGTTAGGCCGGGATAGTGGAGATTGGGGTGGTTTGTTTAATGGTTGTGATTTGGAAACCCCTGCCGGAGTCAAGGTGGCAAAAGCACTTGTCCGCAAACACAAGCCAGTTCATGTGTGGATCAGTTGCCCATGTGGACCTTTCTGTACTCTTCAGCATTTAAATAGTGATACCCCTGAAAGACGGAAGTTGCTTGAGCAAAAGCGTAGCAAGGCCCAGCTTGTGTATGATGGAGCGCAACAAGTGGCTAGATATGCTAAGAAACTTGGTTCTCAAATCCACTGGGAATTTTCTGAGAAGAGTGAAGCGTGGAAGCTTCCGATGATTCAGGATTTCCTCCAGGAGCAAAAGATGGAAAAGGTCACGTGCCACGGGTGTGCGGTTGGCCTCAAGACTGCGGATAAGAAGCTTCCGTTGTGCAAGGGTTGGTCCATTGCCACTTGTAGTCCTGCAATTTTGCGTCACATGAATTTGAAGTGTCAACGCAATCACAAGCATGGAGACTGCAGGGGTAGGAATGCCATTGTCAGTGAACGGTATACTCCTGTGTTTGTCCGTAAAATTGTTGATTGCATGATGGAACAAGAAGTGTGGTCTAAGGTTCTCCAGGAGTTGTCTATGGAAGCCCCCAATTGTTCTCCTCAGGGTGAGTGTAAGGAACAAGCTTTACATAATGAAGAAATCGAAGAAGAACCTCAACCTCCACCTGAAGCAGAAAACGCAGAGCAACAGCAGAGACGCAGAGACATTCAACGGAAGGTCATGCACCTTCATCGTGTGACAGGTCATGGATCAGTGGCAAGTTTGGTACATGCACTTAAAGCCCGGGGAGCAGCAGAGGATGTTATACAAGCAGCGCGAGATTTACAATGTCCAACATGTCAGGAACATCGTCGACCTGCCCCACGACGACATGCAACACTAGAGACTTTGCCGAGGAAGTGGGAACGCATCCAAATTGATCGTGGAGACTGGACACATCCAGTACACCGTCACAAACTCAGATTCGTCATGATCATTGATGAGGGAAGTCGCTTTCGAGCAGGCCGAGTACTATCAGGTCCCGCGCGACGTGCAGGAACATGGGAGGACATACAAAAGGTTTACGAACAGATTTGGTTGCCGACACATGGTGCGCCGGCGGCCGTTCGCGTTGATCCAGCTGGTCCTTGGATGAGTCACAAGGCGGATGATTATTTCGCAGAACGAGGTATACAGCTCGATCCCATTCCAGCAGAGGCACATTGGCAAATTGGTGCAGTGGAGCGAGCGGTACGGAATTTGAAGTCCGTTCTGGAGGCCCTGGCACCGGAGTTTCCCGAGATGTCCGATGATGAGCTTTTCGCACGAGCCGTTTGGATTGGCAACGCTAAGGATCTGTACCGAGGTTTCTCGCCATTGCAACACGCTTCAGGAAGGACACCTGACGAGGACATGCGCATGTTTGAGACGACAGACGAGAAACCGCTGAACAACGACGTGTTTGAGGACGGTGGCTTCGGACAGAACATCCGGGCAATGTGTTTAGCAGAGAAGGCGTTTATTGACGAGCAGGCCAGACAGCGAGTGATCCGAGCTAAACACATGCGCGAACGGAAGACCATCATGTACAGTCCGGGGGATTTAGTATTCTATTGGCGGCGACAACAAGGTGGGCGTGAGCATCAAAACTTCA